ACAAACAGGACACGCCTCAGAGCAGCTGGACTCAAAGCCACCTGAGGACAACACGCAGAAGGGGGACAGGAAGCCTGGGAGATGAAAATAAAAGAAACACGTCTAAATAATCTTTAAACGCAGGTGTTTTGGTAGTATTCTGTCATTTTTTTTCAAACTTCACTCCGGAAAACGCGGGGTGCGAAACACCCACCTCATTATTCGAAGTGGAATTTCTAGCTTTAAAAGCACTCATCAGGTCTAAATCAAAAAGCAAATAACATTAAAGAAATGAACATGGAACATAACACACAAAATGTTGCAAGTTATATTACTATGTAAATATGTGATTATAAGTCATTAGTAAGTAGTTGATGTTGCCGTCCTTTCAGACGAGAGTTATGACTCACAAGTGGAAAATATTAAAGAAAATTATCCTCAGCAACCGACATCCCATCAAATATACCCCGATGTCAAAGTGGGTGACAGAGAAAGAAATGGCAGAAAAAGCCTACAGGCCGCGTCTCAGACGCTACAGTCCAGAGTTATCATGTCAAATGTTAAAGTTAGTGACAGCACTTTCAGAAAAAGACTGAACAAGGAAAGCACGTCGGTAGTATGTGAAGAAAGGCTCTTCTTTCTAAAAAGAACGACAGCGTAGTTGCTTAAGTGGGAACTCTGCTGTTTTTCAAGTTGTTTTGGGTCTGATCTCCATGGAAACGGCACCGGCTTGTTGCTACAAGCATGGATGACATCAGGGGGGGGGCAGTTTTTATCAATTACAGTTCTGTTTGACAGACAGGAAGTTCAGAAGAGGCCCAAAAACCTCAAAGTGTCTACAAGGATATACCAAACCACAATCCTCCTTTAACAGTGTCTGGGTTGGAGTGGCTTTACACACAAACATGCCAGGCATCCTCTTCACTGCACATCAAAGGTACGAGAACCGCTCCGACTTACTGTCAATGATGAAGCAGGAAGACACCGGCGACACGGTGGACTCAGTGCCGTGGGAAATCTCAACCCAGGAATCTTTCTTGAGGTATTTTAAACGGCAATTAAAACATTTTTTACATTCCACTCTATTAGATAGAATGAACAGCTATGCAAGTGTGTGCCACAATGTGAGCGTTCTCTATCCAGTGTGTAAAGCATCCGTACATCAACCTGCAAGGATGGGAGGACATTAACTGGCATTATAACATTATGTTGCTATAGTGTTGTTGTCATTTATTGCTTATGGTATGTGAATTCCACAAGTTTCCCATTTTGAGGACAGAAATTGTAAAATGAACAAACTGAATTCAGCGTATGACCTCAGGGTTTTTCCTTTTTCTAAGCACATGTGTATTGTAATTTTAGCTACTTTCAGAATCAGAGTGTAGTTGTTTTGACTATTTATCATACACTTAAAAAAATTTGGTTTCATGTATTTAAATAATGAACATATAGATTATAGGAGTATCTTTCCTTCTGTCCTGCTTTGGAGCCAGACACTCAAACACAATCCAGCGGGGCTTAAATCAGCATGTGTGGCAGATATGTTGATCCATGTGGTGTCTAACAGGAGATTTCCACCTACTCAGGTTGAACTTTCAGCCCTGTTACCACTCCCTCAGCTCTCATGCACAGATGCGGTGAAATCACAGGGGACGCTCAACCTTTGGTTGAATACACATTTAAGGAGAGTGATTTTTTTATTGATTCAATCATTTTGAATGATGTATGATATCACATACCACAGCCCAGAATCCAAGCTTCATGTGTTAAAAGATTTGTTGTGTCTGTGAAAATGCTTCTACTCCGGCACCAAAAAACTAAAGGCTGACTCCCAAATAACTATTCGATTATCAGAAATATTTCAGCGTCATTATCTCAGAGGATGAAATAAGTACTTTGGTGTATGTTCTTCTGTGCTATGAACAGAATTAGTTTAATTTGGCAGACTGGGATAAACTGCATTTTCAGATCATTCTTATCTTTAATGTATCCTGTTGAAAAACTACCGTCTGACTTTCAAGGATGGTGTGGAGCAGAAGTCTCCGGGTCTGTATGATGCATGTCTGCCATCTAGTGTTTAGAAAGAGGAACCAACACGTGTTCATTTACATAATTTACATCTGCCTTCCACACACTGAGGAGATAACAGTAACTTAACCGAAGTAACCCGAAACTTATTGCTCATCAGGAATAAAACTGACCTAACACACAGCAAACAAAAGGCGACTTAAACAGTGTCTTAAAACAGTGACTTCAAACCTGCTCAGAACAAAGTTAAGTAAATGAGAAAATACAAAATATTTCTGACATAGATCAATTGACAATGACAAAGCAGTTGTTGGAGTGGTCGATCAGGTCTTCATGTTTGCCACCCTGCTGATCCACAGAGCCTCCTCCAAGAGGTCAGCCCACTGGTCAGGGGTGGGAAACCCCGGACCTGAAGGGGTGCTGTCCTGCATGTTTTAGAGGTTTTTCTCCTTCAAAAACCTGATTCACATCAACACAACACCAGCAGTCGTGTGAAGAGCTGAACCATCTTTAGAGGAGGTCCATTTTATCCGAATCAGGTGTGTGCAAGATGTTTGAGGATGCAGCTGATGGGGCATTTACTCTACCCCTGGGTGGACAAGTGCATTGTTCATCTAATCCCAAAGTTCACTATCTGAGATCATCCTAAACAGAAAAACCTGAAGAACCCTTCTAATCCCACGGCCCTCTGCTTTTACCTCAGGGGAGGTAGATATGGAAGTGGAGCTGCGGCAGCTCCGACGGGAAGCGCTCGTGGAGCAGATTAAGCCATTAGCGGCGGTAAGAAGAACAAGGTCAGCTAACGTGCTGCGCCTCTGCCGGATTAGCCGAGCAGACAACAAAGACCAACAACCAACAACAGCGCCGTGCTGTCGAGGCGGCCACCATGCTGCCGTCCACTCTGCACGCCGCCTTTTAAATCTGTGCTCCTGCCCACGGAGGAGAGATGGGGGGAGAGAGTTTATGGGTCCATTATCGATGACATGCTGGACATAAGGAAGGCCGAGGAACCCATCGTGGACCTCTGGTTGAAGAGAAAAGCAGGGACTCTGCAGGAGGTTTTGCTTGTGAAGAAGCTCATAAGAGACTTTCTGAGAGTTCTCAGGAAGAACAACATTCCCCTAAAGCTGCTGGTGACCTTCCATCTCGACTTAAAAGACAACAACCCAACTTAGTGTCCCTGAGTTTGGTATTCCTGCCCTCTCTGAATCACCATGAAACCCTAGAACAGCCTTCTCTCCCCAAACTTTCTCATACAGAAAAATCTATTCTTTTCGTCTTTAATGTTCAGGTTTATTTCACTTTGTTTTTGCTGGTGAGACTTATTTTCTATGTGGCAAAGCGTGTTCAGTGACCGCTGATGACCGAACTCTCACTTTCTTTTTTTTTCTCCCCCTGTGCGTCAACAGCTTCCAACATAGCAGACATCTGTTGACAACGTCCTATTTGCTGAGGAATAGTTTTTTGTATTTTGCCATTTCAGCTTTTTTGTGATTCAGCTCCATGTGTTGCGCTGAAATGTATGTTTCCAGTTCCTTTATCTTTTCTTCCGCCGCAAGTTTCAAGGTCTGCCACTCCGACTGCCGCTTGTCCAGCTCATTCTGCTTATCGAGAAGCAGTGCTTTGTAATGTTCCTTTTGGTGTTTTTCGTGATCTAATTCTGTGTTTTTCTGTTGATTCTCATTTTCCACTGCTGCCACCTTTTCTTTCAGCTCAGAGATGTGGCTGTTCCACTTGGACAGGTATTTGTTGAGCTCATCCTGCTTGTTTAGGAACAGGCTTTTGTATTGGGACTTTTTGGCTTTTTCGTGGATTAATTCCGCATTTTTAACTGAAGTCATCTCTTCTGCTTCCTGTATTTTCATTTCCAACTTGGACTGTAAATCAGTCCACCCTGACTGGCACTTGTGGAGCTCATCCTGCTTCTCCAGGAACAGTGTTTTAAAATGCTCCTTTTTGTTTTTCTCTTTGTTCATTTCAAGGGTTTTTTCTGAACTCTCAGCTTCCACTTCCTGTATCTTTTTTTCCATCTCGGTATTGAGGCCCTTTGACTTTGACAACCATTTGATGAGCTCATCCTGTGCGCTTAGGAACTGTTTTTTGTAGTACTCCCTTTTGGCTTTTTCATTGTTTAATTCTGTGTTTCTTAGCAGTCTCTCGTTCTGAAGTTCCACCATCTCTCTTTCCATCTCAGACTTGAAGGTCTTCCACTCTGCATGACTTTTCTCAAGCTCATCGTGTTTTTTCTGGAACAGGTATTTGTACTCTTCTTTTTCAGCCTTCAGGTTAGCTATTTCAGCATTCATTTCCGAACTCTGCCTCTCTGCCTCCTGAATCTTCTTTTCGATCCTGGTGTTGAGGTTCTTCCAGTTTGAATGCCATCTTTGGAGCTCATCTTGTGCATTTAGGAACAGCCGTTTGTAGTTTGCCTTCTTGTTTTGTTCATCAATGATTCTCTGCTCAGGCGTGGGTGGCTCGACCTTATGCACACTCAGATCACCATGAGGCATCATCGCTGATAAATCCTCAGGCGGTGAAGTCAGATACATGAGTATCTAAAGTCCTCTGGTTTCCAAAAATCCTGATTGTCTGAGAGTTTTGTTTGGAGAAGTCACTTTGGAAAGCATGTTCAGAGAGCACGCGGTGACATCCACAGTTGTGATGCGTTCAAGTTCTAAATTCCATAGGCGGTGCTTCTTGCCTAGCAACAGGGTCAATCGGTCATCTAGCACTCTAAAAACTGAGCGGGATCATAAGGCTTCTTTGTGTCCTGTTCCGCACGGCTTTGATATATTTACAGGAGCGCAAATATTACACTAAGATGCCTAAATTAATAGACAAACCTGTTACCGTCGTATGAAACAAATAAAAGTTTGCTTTAGTTTATTATAAAGCTCTCACCCTAGAACGATTAAATCACCTTAAAAGTTGCAGACCTCAGTATCTCACTCGGTTTCCCAGCAGGAGATATGAATGAAGACCAAAGGCAGTGGCAGGGTTAAAATGTTTTACTGTAGTGCTACAGTATGCAACAAGTAAGACTGAAAACATTAGGCATCCTCATATTGTGTTTATTTCCATGACAAAAATACCTGGCATGTAGAATCCCCACAACATGGCAGCGAAGTAGAAAAGAGGATAACGATGAGAAGAGGAAACAAATTAGGGTTTAAAAACAGATTTTTACGAGTCAATGTCCTTCTTGTGCTGATCTCTGATTCTCTCTCGTTGGCTCCATCGGTACACTGACGATCAGACGTAATTCAAAAGGCTAAAAAACAGTAAAAACCGTGACAGAAATGGCTGTGTTTAGTGTGACCATAATGGCTTCCTCACATACATGTGCTCCATCCTCCTAACAGACACTCACTCACTCACTCACATCCATCCATACAAAGACGCATGCACTCAGAATTTGATGAACCCACATAAACCCTGGGAGTATGACTTATGTCCCCGGTCCTCTGTGTAGATTTAGATAAGGAAATTCAAGGTGAATCACATAATAAATACATTCTGAAATTTCTTTTTTGAAACATACAGATATATACAAATTATTCAAAAGAAAAAAAAAACTAGTTTTACTAAGTGTTTACATCTAAGACAGTCACTTGAACATGGTGCGGACCACGATGCACACGCAAATCTCTTCCCTTAGGCTCATGCATTCTTTTTCCCCCCACTCCTCTCCGTGTCCTTTCCCATCCCACGCTGTTCCATGTGACTGATTGTACACACTAGTGTCATGGTCTAAACCAAAGCAGTGCTATTCTATTATCCATTCAGTTTCAGCACTACAGGCACACAAGTACAAAGACACTCTGTTTGGCTCCCTGCCCTGCCTCCTTCCCAGTATCCCTCCTTCCCGATGTGTCACTCCAAAACACACGCAGCACTCCGTGTAAACAAGTACTCTTTGTCCTTTCGGATAATAAATACTGTTTTGGTAAAATCATCATTAAAAGACGAGACAGGTCGTATCTGAGCGTACACTAATACAAAACACACAATTGCACTGTTTGAAGACCTCTTCATTTGTTTCTGTTGGATTTTTCTTTTCTATTTCTTCTTCTTCTGTTTTTTGTTGTTTTTTTGTTGTTTTGGCATCAGCATTAAGGCCCATAATCTGAAGTGGAAGGAAAGTTGGTGAAGTCCAAGCCGTGATCTGCTTATGCCCACAGGGCCTAGGTTAAATACAAACGACACACATACAGGCACACTCACAGATGAAGGGGTTTGCGGGGGGGAGGGGGGTGATATAAAAAGACACTAAGGAATGATGAAACATCCTCTGTCGTTTCATTTTGCTAAACCATTCGATATCTTCCTTATACATGTGAAATCTTGGCAACCACGCCCGTCTCTGGGTGCGCCTCTGCTCTCCGGAGCGGTGCTGTTTCAGTCTGGCTACGCTGGGGGTGGGGGGGCAGTTCCTCTTTGCAGATGGCTGACAGGCGGTGGCTGTGGCTGTGTTTATTGCTGTGAAGTCTTTGCTCCTCCCCTCGCAACAAGGAAACCGAGGGCCGAAGCTGCCCTCCGGACACTGATCTGAGGTCTGTTCCGCACTCTGTCCGTCAGAGTCTGTGCTTTTTTAAAATCTTTTTGGGGGGGAAGCTCTGCTGGCAGATCAGTGCTGGAGGGAAACTCCTCCCCAGGGGTCTGGCTCAGGTGAATACGTAGTTGAGGAGGAGCTGGGAGAGGAGCAGGACGCAGAGGATGAGGCAGTGTCGGCCGGTTAACGGCACGCCGTTGTCTGTGGCCCTCTGGAGAGACAGCTGCCGGCTCAGAGCCACCAGGTTCCTGCAGACAGATAAAGGGAGAGCTCAGCTCTGCCACAGCCAGAAGGGATGCATTTTTCTGTTTCAGGGTCCTTTTCCTGGTTTTCGCAGTCATTCTGGAGACTTTCTATAGCATTCCACCTCTGAGAAGCAGTTATATTATAATAGCTATACTATTAGAAAGCCCGGATCTATTTAAAATGTTAAATGGCTTATGAAATGTACACAAAATTAATTCATCGAATGTAAAATCTACACTTCTGAGAGACTCCTGCATTGTAAATGCAATAAAATAGAAGAAGAAACAGCTAATGATTTTGTTGTTACACTGAGCAGAACAATGGAAACGTGCTCTTTTCACCTCTGAATATCTTGCTGTGTCTTCTGTATGGAAGTGATGGAGGCCTCAATCACAGCGATGTCCTTCATCTCTTTAGTGCAACGGGCACACTGGTTTGAAAAGCCTGGAGGCAAAACAGAGAGAGGAAAAAGACGGGAAGTTATTCCTAAACTAAAACATGACATCCATCAATGGAATTTTCTGATAATTGAGGCTCATCTCATTCTGATTTTCTGAATGATTTGGTTTGTGTCATCGGTCACCTTCATTGTCCGAGGACTCGTGTGTTGGTTCCGGCGTGGTGCTGCTGCTCTCTGTGTTCTGGCTGCAGCTGGACGGCTGGCTGCTGGCCTTCCTGTGCTTCCCATTCACCCCCGCCTGGTTAGAGGGAAGCAAGTTGTTGTTAATGCACTTTAAAAAAATAAAAATAGAAAAATAAAAAACAGGCAAAACCCTGCTTTATGCAGCTAAAAGAGCTAAAGAGAGGTGCAATGTGAATGTCTGACCATCACTGCAGTGACCCATGCTGATCAGTAATTATGGGACACTAAGCTAGCAGCTGGAGTCTGACCTCAAAGCAGCTCAGCAATCCATCAAACAACAACTCAGGGAAATTCTAAATGACAAGAGCAATAATTGTGATTAAAAAAATACAAACTCATTAATTTATTGAACATAAAAAAACTGAAAAATCCTAGCTAAAAAAGTCATTTTGTTTTGAATGCTCTCAACCATAGAGGCCCACAGTCCTCTATAGAGACAAAGAACCTTTCAGAGGGACAAATCTTTCTTCACTCCTTTAATCTGACCTTTATGAGGAGAGGGGCCAGACAGAGGCCATCGCTCACTCACTGAGTCAATCTTAAGACGTGTCATTAACTGATGTCTCTGCAGCCTCACCTTGTGTTGACCTGCCCAGCCGTGGCTGTAGGAGAGCCCGTTGTGTTGCCTCAGACTCTTCTCGTGCGTCTGAATCACGCCGTCCTTCTCAAACTGGGCCAGACAGTGCTCGGGGTCCCAGGGGCGCGCGCTGCGGCACAAAGATGCAGCTTAATAAACACCTACATCTACTTTGCTTCTGACCAATGAGCAAACGACAGTGCGGTGTCTTGTGTTGTGCGTGCGTTCGTACTCCATGTGCCTGTAGGTCCAGTCGGAAGTGACGGGATCCTGCTGGAAAAGCCGGGGGATCCAGGGTCTGTCTCCCCTCTCCCTGCTCTCTTTTCGCTGGGCCTCCTCCAGCACAAACTTCTCCTGAGTGGCCCTCACTTGGTCCCGATCCATGATGGCGCTGGTCACATGCTGCCACAGCCTGTAGAGGACGCAATACATCGGATACAAACAGAATAAATGTATTGAACGATTGAGAAGTATGAACGTTATTAATAGTTCTGTTAATAAGCACCCGGCAGAATTTTCCCTCAACAAAGACAAGTTTATTTGATGCGGTAATGTACAACATAAAATCACTGCTTTTGGGTCTAAGAGCAAAAACTGAATGTATCTTTTTCTGAGGAATAACACCAGTGATGGAGACGCACAGCTGACACTGAATGAGGTTACCTTTCTGATTCAAACTCTCCCTGCTGGTCTAACTGGACCACTTGTCTCTTGAGGCGCCTGCTGCGAATGTCTGAACTTGGGTTCCATAAAGTCTCCTGCTGGTTGGAGCGCTTCTCATTAATGAACACCTCACCATCCTGAATTTTAACAAACAAACAAAAATAATTCAACATGGACCATTTAAACCCAGAAAGAGATGCTAAAAGAAAAGCTTAAAAAAATAAAAATAAAAACTTCCAACCATAACTCGGAGTGTGAAGAATGGCAGCTCTTACCCAGTGCCCATCGATGGTGGCCAGCAGCTCCTCTCCTACAAAGATCTTTCCACTGATCTGATTTACTGAGCTGGAGCCACCGAGGAAAGGCTGCAACGCACAGGATCATTACACACCGACTTTACTTAAACAGTCATTTATGGGTAGGATAACTAACGAGATGTGATAAAAACAACAGCATTAACCAAGCTAAAGATGTTAAACTGGACAATTGCTTAAGTACCTACCTTCAGTTTGAACTCGAGCTCTGCAAAACACTTGGTTTTCTCACACTCGATAGACACTTTCCCTCCCAGCTCTAATGTCATTGTGCCATACAAGATACCTACAGGAGACACCGCATTGCATCATCAGAGACACTCTCTGGCTATCTGTCGACAGTCAGAGCCTTTCGTTCCGCTTTTGCAGGACGGTTATTATCATCATCGTCCTTTGACCTGCCAGTTGCAGTAAGTGCAAGCCTCTGCTAGACTGGGAGGAAGATCATTTACAACATCCCTACGTAAACTTGGAGACCTGACAGGAAAACCTGACCGGACTTGGATTACCTCCATCCCCCACCTCTAATTTTGGATACCAGCCACATCAAGGGTTCAAGTTCAGAGCAGGATGCAGACTTGTTTTATATCCAGTAGCTCAGCGATATTGGCTACAGCAGATGGCTGTAAAAGATACAGCCCACATACCATTTGCCACATTAGACTAATATCTTAGCAAACATGGTGGATCCCTTTGTAAATTGACTTGGCCCACAGCTCTCCTGTGAACAGAGAGGAGGGAGCTACGGGCTGGAATAATCTGCAACGCACCTCAGAGGCTGGAGGCTTTCTACCAGTTATATCTAAATAATCTACGTCCAGGTTCTGTGCAAATGTAATCACAGGGAGAAATGATCTAATCAAATTTGAAGGCGGATGCTTGTATTAGAAGAATGCGTTCATTCCCAACACATCGACATGCTCCATCGGCAATAAGATTCAGAACAGAGGATCACGGCCATGGCTCAGCTGACCAGCAGTGGTGGATATAATTGTACGTTTTGAAGCCATTACCTTTGCAGTGGGCATAAGGCATGGTGATGACATACTCCTCATCCCTGCTCATGAACAGCAGTCTGGCTCTGCCATCCAAAATGGCTGACAGAGAATTACCTGCGAGGGAACATAGAAGAGCATGACAATCCGTCATTGTTGCTCTGTAAAACAAACAGAGTACATAATGCTGAATAATGCATACCGTAAAACTTGGACTTGGCAAGGATGTTTCCACTGATACAAAAATTATCCTTTCTATTGCAGATATAAAAGGCAGAGATGGGTGGATGGTGGGAAACCTGGAACGGGCGCAACAGAGTGGGCAGAAAGGTGTTAGATACCCTGCAGCATGCTTCACACATGGGATGAATCATGTCCTGTGGCAGGCGAATGTGGATTAACCTGCTCGGCTATGTAGAAGGTGCAGCTATCAGTCTGAGGATGCAGCCAACAGCATCGAAATGTCTCCCCCAGGATTGGGTTGTAAGGCTTTTTGAGACCCTGAGAGGGAAACGTGAGGAAGAGGCAGGTCTGAGCAACTGAGCAAGATTATTGCTTTTTTTCACACTTAAAATTAAGACCTAACGCATAAATAAAGAGAAAGATTGAAATTGTCTAACCAGTAGCCCCAGTATTGAGAGCAAAGCACATGTTCGTCATTGATTGCCCTAAAGGCAATGAGCATAAAAAGTGCTGAGTAAGCCCTGAATGATCAGAAGGCGTTTTCTGCTGGCTCATTCTGGGAGCTTCCCTTTGCTGCTGCTGCTGCAGCCACAGAGGAAATAAATCTCCAATGTGGGATCAAGGGGAAAGTGTCTGCTGATGCTTTTAAAGGAGGAACAGGGCTTGGACGAGGCTATTTGTCACGCCGCCAATTCTAAGTGAGAGCCCAAAACAACAATGTGAAATGCTAACGGTAAAGGGCGTCTCCCGGAGCTATAAAAATATCCACTTGCAACACGTCGATGGGGAGTAGTTTAGATGTGAACCAGATAAGCAGGATGGACGGATGGAGAGGAGGAAGGAACTGTTTAACCATTATCAAATAGCAAAATATTGGGTAGTAAAATAATCATTTATTGTTCCGTAGCTACTGAAAGCTTCTAAAACATCAAACAGCATGGTTGCAGGTTGCAGCATGCCACATAAAACTTGATAATCATGAGTCATATTAGAGAAAACATTTCTAACCTTGGGCTTCTTGTAGAAGCCAGACAAGTACCATCTTAGCACCTGCTTGATCCGATCATAGGCCCTCTCTTCCAGAGCTGCCCTGTGGTGAAGAAGCAGAAGCATAGTGCAAACATATGAGATAAAAAAATGAATAAAAACAGAAAATGATGTGAATTGTTTCCGTTGCAGTAGTTTACTAACTGTGAGAGCAGATCGGCGTGGTAGTAGTAGTCGGACAGCTTGTCCAGGAAGGAGCGCGGCTCCAGGATGAAGGTTGGCAGCACCACCTTTGACAGGTCCATGCCTGGCCGGAGCTGTTTCAGCAGACCCCAGATCAGACCTTTGTTTTCCTCAGACACAGTTTCCACCTGGGAAGCCTCCCCAGCCTACAGTATTGAAATATAGATTAAAAGAAAAGATTTACGACAAGAATCGAAACAGGGCAATGGTATGTGACTGATCAAACTGTAAGCAGAGCAGAAAAAACCGGGCCACAGCCCCTTTTACCTCGGCCATCTCCTCGCTGCCCTGCTCCACGTAGGCGGTGGCCTGTGGGCTGGGGGACATCTCGTCCGACTGCTCCATGTCGCTCTCCTCCGTCAGCCGTCCGCCGTTTTCATTGACCGTAGCATCCCAGTCGTCGTGGGTCTCACGCTCCGATTTGTCTGAGAAACCATCGTGCTCCATGTGGTGATTGCCGAGCAGGGCGCTTTCGTTTAACCTAACAAAAAAAAAAAAAAAGAAGGGACAACTAACGCTCAGATTACAACTACCACATATAGAGTCACCAGAGCAAATGACATCAACATCTTTTGTTGAAAAACTAACAAACAAAGCAGAAAACTGTGTACATTATAGAGAAGGACAAGATTTAATGAGACGGCTCTGGACTCATTTTGTGGTAGATGCACCACAACTCTCAGGACACCATCACTCTGGCAAGAATTAATGACAGTCTGAGAGGCAGTCTGTGATCTCAGTTTTAATGCACTACATTTCACCGAATAAAAGACCAGACAGTGACAAATATCTGCAGTAAGGGCCGGTGGGGGACTCATCAGGGGAAATGGGATGTCTCTGCCGAGGTCTGGGTAAAAAAAATACTTTGGAAATGTATTATACTATTTGACTTTGAATACATTTGTTTAATTGGACAAATAAAAAAAGGTACAGGCCAAGTTCTTTCTATCTCCATATGAAGCGGAAGATGTATGCAGATGCAAAGTAGTGGAAAACAAATTCAAATTGCGTCCTTTACTACATTATCATATTTCAAGCTGTGGAATTTTCCAGCAGGAACAAATCAAACCCAGGCCCTCAGATCTGTCTGCAGTGCGCACTGGGAAAAAAAAGAAAAGTTGCAAATCAGTTCAAATGAGCCCACAAAAAAAAAGATGTGATACTGAGAAAAGAGAAGAGGAATATGAAGGCTGTGGGGGGAGGAGGTATCTTAAGAGGAACATCCAGCTATCAAATGATCAGAGTAAACTCAGAGTGCATGTACATTCAAGACAAATACAGGAACATAGAAGGGAAGAAAGAGTAATATCCGGCTCAATGAGGGCTAAATATTTCCCAAACTGCCCATAACTGGGATCAAAACAACTACAGGACAACAACTGCACTGCCTCACATGCTTTCATAATCACCTTCTGTGACGCAAGTATGCTCACAGGAAAAACAAAAAAAAAACAGCTCAATTTCCTCAAGAACAAAGGATAAGAGTTCCGATTTCAAAACACCGAAGAGCTTCACAGACCTGATCAACCACTATCCAGCAGACTTTGTAAATTATTAACAGACCCACAATGTCATCTGCTAGTTCAAACACACCCTGGAAGAGAGGCAGCTTTCCTTACCCCAAAGACATCCAGCATACAGACCAACTCCTCTTTGGGGATCCAAACACCACAAAATGCTGTTAGCAGCGAGTCCAAAAACAGATGCAGACCGTCTGTATCGCAGCCTCTCTTCTGTGTGTGCTAAATGTTTCAAATCTACTGACAAAAGCGTGACGTTTGCTCTTTTGACTTCGACATACCTGCTTCCTGAAAGTGCCTGTGGATATTTCTGTCTGTGTGCCAAGGTGTGTCTCTGTGTGTGTGTGTGTGTGTGTGTGTGTGTCAGCTCGCAATGGCTGCGTTGTTAACGGCTCTTTCTGGGTGGTGCACTGCTCACATTGTGTTTCATCTTCCTGCTCCCCTGTCAGTCATGTGATTGAGCAGGGGGCTGTGATTGGCTGGGAGAGGAGCACGACAGGAGGAATTGCTTGGGTGGGATGGCCAGGGGGAGGGCTCAGCCGTGGGGAAGGTAAGAGGAAGGACGGGGGAGGTGCGAGTGGCAGAGGGATGTTTAATGTGGGCTGCAAAAACTATGACTGTGGCTGAGGAGCAGCCTGTCATGGTTCGCTTTCCAAACTAGTCTGTAACTTGTTACTTTGATAGTAACATGCAACATCTTCAGAAATGAATTATGACCGCATTTAATTCTTATTTGCATGTCGTGTCAATGTATTAAAACGGTCCGGACCCATGTTTGATGTGACAGCATAACAGAGACACAAGCAAACCTAACTGAAGTGTTTCCAAAATATGAACGATATGAGGATACCATAACAAAATGGCAAGTGTGTGTGTTGTGTTAGTTAACTCTTACAGACGTAGCTGCAGTCATAAAATAATCTTTAAATATTGGTGCGTTTGAACAGAACCAGTCGTCTATAACCAGAGCATTTCCTTTTAGCAGTATCTATTTGTGGTGGGAGGTGTTGTCCAACTATTTCAGTTGACACAGAAGCTAATGTTGAAGCTATGAAAACTGTCAAACAAAAAAAAAAAAGCACAAAGCTCCTGATTGGATCAGATGAAAGGTTACCATGAACGGCTAAGGAAGCATACCGGGACTGTTTGAGAGATTATTGGGCTAAAATAAAAGGAGGCATTTTAAGCTTAGTTACAAAGGTAGCAATTATCACTGTTTCCAGTTTGGAGCAGATGTTAAAAAACTAAGTTCTGGGGAGATACTGCACAGAAAGCATTTTCAATACGAAGCTAGAGTCTCTCTACATTTGGTATTGGCCCTGCAGCACTGATTATTTCTGACTAGTACCTCATGCATCTTATTTGCACCTATGTTGTCAGTCATGTTGCTGTCAATCTAATCCATACATAATGTCAGAACATCTGACTGATTTGCATGTGAGAAACTGCAAAGCCCTATAGCTGAATCTCAACATGAACAAAGCAAACTGCATTTGTATAAAGTATAAGAGAGCAATACTTAATCATTTTTACGCATTTAGGCTCTTTGTCTGATTCAAACTGCCTCGTTTGGCATTTGAAACATTTTCAAGATTAAGTTTTTTTTTCCCATCAACCAAAAGTATTTCCAGAGAACCCAAAGTTTTTTTTATTTTTTGCTACTGTAAGATGAACACCAGAATGTTCAGATATGTTATCCAAAACTGACAGATAGAGATACCAACTGTCCTGCACATGGACTGGACAAGATAAAGAAGGAAAAAAACAAGACTACCGTTAGGCTTCTGCTGTTTCTGCTGTTTGCAGCCATGCATGTCTCACTTACTGCAGCAGCTCTGTATCAGTGAGAGGAGAGGACTGTAGCAGGTGGAGTATGTGCGAGGACTCTGAAGACATGCTGAGATCCCCCTCTTTCCCAGGTTTGGCTGTCAGCTTGTAGAGACTGGAACAGCTTAGAGCCAGCTCCAGGGCATCCATCCAGCACCGGCCTGAAGAACAAGAACAGCTTTTAGATGGGGGAAAGAAAAAAAAGTGGGTGCCTTCAATCATTTCTCACAGCGAATAAACCATCAAATATACACAAAGGTCTCACCATCAGACTCAGAGGCAGCTCTGAAGATCAGGTAGTTGCTGGGTAAAGGCTGCGTGATGGAACCCACATTCTCACCTTTGGGACCCTGAGCATATGGTTCAAAGGGTGACTCACACTTCATGTTGAGTGTCATGTTTAACATCAGAAACAAATGACTCTCAAGGGGGACTGTTCCCCTGGATAAAAAAGCCCTGAGCATGATCCGCAGAAGCCTGATGGTGCTAACGCGCTCCACAAATCCAAATAAAATGAAACACCATCATAGATAAAACCCGCACACTAGGAGGTTCTCCACTTTGATTAGTTTTGTTAACCATAAAATTGAGATCTGATTTTATTATTCGTCTGTAAGATGTTTTCATGTTTTATGTGAAACATATCATGAGCTTAACTTTCCATTAGCACTGTGGCTGTGGATCTCTGCACAGCCTTTTTGGAGGAACCCGCTAGCAGTCAGTCCGCCCTGCTTGCTGGCCCGTCTCCCAGGCCTATCTAGTCCGGTGCTATTAGATCTGCCAGCTATTGCTACAAGTAGGTTTCTGGCCAGCCGGCCAAATGTTAGGGCTCCATGCTGGGCCTTGTTTCTGCTGTGGGCTGCTGGCTTTGGATCAGGAGTACCTCCTGGAGCACCAGGCTATTTCACATCTTTGGGCTAGCCCGGCGCTCCTGTGGTCAGCCAGTTTTAGACTGCTGAGCTAATCAAAAGTTAATCCAGGGTGAACTTCCAAAATTGAAGATTTAATCATATCTGAAACAAGCTTTACAGGAATGATGTTTTCCTGACAAAAACGTAGAAATTTGTAAGTAGAACGAACACACACAGGCTTTCAGAGGATTTATAAATACCAGAGCCAGAAAAATAGCCTTTGAAAAATGTATTTGTGCTTAAATAGAAAAATATGCCTGACCTTGACAGCCCAGATGGATTTCTCCAGTGGGTGGTAAAGCTTGAAGCAGAAGCCGTCTTTCTTGGAGGGTCTCTCAATCAGCTTGCATGCGCTGAGCAGAATGGTGCCCACCCAGTGGTCTGCTTTGGGGGTCTTGTAGATCAGAAGTACTCCAGGCCTCAAGGCACACCACAGCTTGGTCCAACTCTTTAAAGAGCCACGGATCTTCAGAGGGACAAGGAGTGAGACAGGGAGCTGTTATGTGTGGAGGCTACTGCAGCTAGTGTGGCGGATGTAAACGTTAACAAATTCTAAAATGTACAGTTTATTACATTTCATAGAAAATTAGTAGATGGAGTGGAGAACTGCAGATGTGAAACGTGTGACAGAAAATCAAGCATTGTCCTGTGTAAGTGAATCAGCCGTGTATTATAATGTGCTCACCTTTAGCCAGTTTGACATGATGACAACACTGGGGTCCTTAAGTGCGCTGGACAGTTCTTTAGCCGCCCGTTTCTTCTCTTGCCGGTAATTTTGCTTTTGGACCTGTTAAGGATAAAAAGACAAACACAATAATGAGTCACCGGTCTCAACGTGGAAAGACTGATGAGAATGAGCAAACACTAGGTGGAAGCAGAGTCAAACTAACTGTAGCCTTCAGAGACGTGTCACTGTGAGGAATGTTTCTAATGAATCCGAAATAGCTTTTCAAGATTTAATCAGAAATGTGAATAATAGAAATGTTGCATAATAATGCAAAACATTTCGTGTAGTTGACTCAAAGGAAGTGACGTGTACCTTAAGAGACTCCTTTCGGGCAAGCTTCTCTGTGGGGGAGGGGCACTCCTTCTCCACACCATTAAACATCCTGGACTCAGACTGAGAGTCGGAGTGGGAGTGAGGAAAGAGTGAAAAGAGTGATTCACTGAGAGATAGACTGTGAACTCATACAGCTTCTGTGGAGATGTCATCTGACATAAACAAAGGGACTAACAAATATCCTATTGTAAGTCTAGTAACAGAAATAAATCAACTTCTTTTAAGTCAGTTTTATTCATGACTGTTTAGTGATGAAATGCCACAAGAATGAATGATCTGATTTGCCTAATGTAAGGTCAGAACCATGCCCTTTGTTTCTATCAGGTAGTGAGAAGTTGGGGCCACTTATAGAGAACTGAACCGGCCGTCAGTTCTGGTTTTGTCACCACAAACTAAATAACTTCCTTAGCGGGTCAGAAAGAATCTGAAAGTACACATATGTACTCTGTATTTATAACAGGGTAAAAAAAAAAAAAAAGAACTGTTGTTGAGGCTAGTTAGGCCCTTAAACACTTCTATTAGTGTTTTTAAATAAGCCATAAAGCCATTATTTAAGCAAATTACGCAACCACATCCAAGTGTAAGTGGTAGCATGCATGGACAAAGTTGCTGTCAGCCTCAGATTGATCCCAAAGGGCCTCTGAGATGGAAGAAAGGCCAATAGGCGACGGGCTGCAGCTGCACACGCAACGTTACTCGGCATACTGCATTAGGCAGCATGTTTGGACTGAGTGAAGCAAAACAACACGAGGAGACAAGACAAGATGAATCTACCTGTTGTCTTTTGGCAGCATTTGTTATTTCTGCTTATTAGGAATGACGACGGACTGCTGAGTCTGAAACATTGTAAGCAGCAGATACGTCTGCGTGGCTACATAATAGGCTTGTGGTCCAAGGAAGTAGTTCCCACCATGGCCTTGATTTAAATAATACAGCTTTAGGAAAGTGGTGCAGAAAAACGAGGCATTTGTTAAATGCCCTGGAATCATTTGGCCTCCTCTAAAAACAAGGCATTGAAATTTGGACGCTTTTGTTCACTCCAAACTTTGCAGAGAATTCGGGTTTCTAATAGAGTGACGATAAAAGGGAAAAAGCAACGTTCTCGGAAGGAATCGGTGTTGGCTCACCGATGGCGTCTTTTATAGTGAGCTGCTAAGAACTGCCCAATTAGGAACTGTGCTCTTACCTTGCTGCCTGGTGATTGGGCAGGACTAAGTTCATTACTCAGCATGGAGAGACCGTTCCTGTCTGTCTCACTGCCTGGTGGGAACCCACAACATACAGTCACAAACAAATGCGCTCAGTAAATAAACCTGCTGGCAGACAAGTAAAGCACGGCGGCCGCCACAACGGCTAGAAAAAGCAGCAGCTGGCGACTGTTGACTTTTATGGAGCAGGGACATATTTGCAGTGCCATATTTTCACAGACAAAGACGTCCACCTGCAACAGTCCCTGGAATAACACCTGTGGTGTTGGCTTGCCGCCTGTCGGCTGCGACCTCTCGGTCTCTTACCCGGAGTGAGGTTGTAGAGGTCGTTGTCTCCTCCATATGACAGGTTCCGGGTGAGGCTGCGGGGGTCGATTTTTGGTGGAGAGGTGGCACTGGGGCACAGAGAAAGCCTCCGATGGAACAGATTCTCCTCCTTCATCCTGACAACTTGCTCGTCCACTGCTGGGGGAGAAGAGGCATGTTAGATCTGGACACAAATGAGCCGCTCGAGGAACCTCTTTGAAACATGGCCGCTTATAATTTGTCCATCCGTTAGAAGAATTTACAAATAAAGTGATCCACTCTGCCACAAGAGTTCCTCTATTTGTAAATCTAATTTTTCTGTTGAGTTCATGCTATGGCACAAACCGAGCTCTCGAGCCTAATGAGACTCCCCTCTGTCCGTTCATGCGTCTGGGCCTCCACCCTTCCACTCCTCCCCAACACTAACAAAGCTTTACTGTACAAGGACATGTCTGCCTGTCCGCACAACGACGCAGTGCATGGCGGTGACAACCAGCGCAGGCTGCTCGCTGTCAGACTATGTGACAGATGGGAGGGCTCCGGTGGAGTTCAGCGGGTCTGCGCCCGGTGATCGACTGCCCGAAATGTCCTGAGACGTTCTGAGCCCCTTCTGTTAATGGCCGTGAGCTGCTCCACAGCTGAGGAGACGCGCATACCGACGGGTGAGCCGATGCAGATGTGCACAGGAAGGAGCTGTGCTCCTACGGCAGTAACTGGATGACTCATGTGTCTACAAAAAGGACACCAAAACACAAACACACACACACACACTCAGGCAACTGGTGTGCATACTGTGTGCAAGTCTATTTTCTCCTCTACCGCGCTCGTTAAATATTGACAATCAGAAAAGCATTCTGAGTATGTACTGTAGCTCTCCAAAACTGCTCGGAGTCACGGCTGTTCGGGCAGATCATCAGGGCTGATTGTGCCGCCGGCCGGGCTGATAAAGGCAAATCAGAGCCCGTGTTAAAACCCTCTGACTCCCAGCCTCTTGAGCAACCTCGCCTCCAAGTCCCAATTTACAGCATCCAGGAACAGAGTCTTACGTAAGATTCATTCAGAGTGCCTTCACAGACTGATTCATCTTTTAATCTTCCCACATCATTCCATGGTGATTGCACTGAGACAATGGCAGCGTGTGAAACTGGTTAATGCTGGAACAAGTGACACTTAAACCCGAGGGTTACTGGTGACTAAAAACAGTACTGCAGGAATTTGCAGTTCATGCGTGTGCCGCTTCCACAAGTACGTTCATGTGCACGATAAAAAAAAAAAAACACAAAAAAAAGAAACACAAAGCACACTCACGTACTCATCCCACCACTCCCTGCTTCCCTCCGTTGTCTATTGCTGCCTCAGTGACTCATTCGCTCAACATCCAGACTCCCTTCTCATTTCTGGTCCTGCAATCTCCTCGGTTTGTGGACACCCCCACCCACACCCTCCACCCCTGCGCTTTGCTTTTTGAATTTTTTTTTTCGATTTCAAAGAGGCTCTGATAAATTATGAAGGTAGAAAAAAAAGGAAATGTAAATGGCCTCGTTTGTCCTTGTGGAGCAGATCTATAAATAGCTCCATTGCTGCAGCGTATATGTTGCACAGCGCTGAACCCTCTGCGAGTTGCATGCTGCATGGAAAAGAGCATGAAGCTTTAGCCTTACACAACATTAAACACAATGGGCTGCCAACAGACACATGCGCGCACACACGCACACACTCGAAGAGAGAAGTAATACCATTTACAGTACAGGCCACAAGTCAGGTCAAGATGCGGAGACACGAGCAGACCGACAGGATAAACCAATCACAGCTCACAGACACAACTGCAGGGCCGGATTAGCCGGTGGAAAAGCTGAGAATATGAGCACTTAGTCAGGAAGTGAGCACGGGTGTGGCCTCCCTGAAACAGTAAAGCAATCGAATATTAGGTGATTTTGTCTGTGAAACATTAAAAGGAGGACACCCCAGAAATGTGCATGTTTGATGATGCAAGTGCGAAGAAAATAACGCGGGGGAGCGTGCACGATTACGTTTGTGTGTGTCTGGCTTGTTGCCGCAGACTGAAAGCAGGATTACAAACGCACATGATCAATCGCCATTAAAGCGCTCCTCTCCCGCCAGCCCAGCCCCAACGCCGGCGGAGAATCAGTGCATGCAAAGCAGTTCAGCCGCGGCCGTCCTATTTCAGAGGTGAGCAGAAAAAAACATGGCCTGTGAGAGGTGGACACAGCCATTAGCGTCCCCCAAAATAGCAAATCGATGCATTTGGCTGTGTTCGTCTTTGCTGATGGTCAGAAAGGCATCGATCGGGTGCCGGCGGGGCCTGATGAGTGTAGGCCGCGCTCACATCTTTTCTGTCGCAAAGGGGAACTCGTAGGTGGAAGATGCTCCCTGAGAGCCGGCTGATGACACAAAGCAAAGTTTCACTTGCCTGACCCTCTCGTGATGGCGAGCACGACGTGGAAACCCAGAGGCCCTCCCCTCTCTGCACGAGGGGTAACGCTTACAGTTCTGGGCGAGCTTGGTGGCCGTCCGGCCAGGCAGAACTATGCAGGTGCTGGACCAATATTTACCCTGTGGCTGGGGCGCTTCGTGGAAATGCTAACACTGGTGCACTACAGCCCCAGCGCCCCCCGCGTTCTGAAAAGAGGCGCAGGGAAGCCAAACAAAATGCCAACGGCAGACGGGCCTTACCCACAGTCGCCTTGTTGAAGGGAAAACACTCGACTGGCTGTCACATGGAGCCCGTTTGTTTTCAGTAATCATTACACCACCTGGGACGGCAGGTTGCGAGGACGGTTGGAAGGCAACGGCTGACATGTCCCGACCTGTGTGTTGTTAATGAGCTGGCTCGATCTGCCTCGAATAAATCTGTCTCTTTTTATGTTAAAGGGGTCAGGACCGCAAAATAGAGGCTAAAGGGGCCAATTCGCTGCACGCCGCTGAGCAAATTTGAAAAAAAGAGAAACATTTTTGTTAAGACAAACTGTTGGTGCTCGCTGTGTCGGGCTCAGGCTGGGCCCGCTCACTTTGCTGATTAACAAGGAAGCAGTTAGGAAAATGAGCTGAGTGCTGATTCTTTGCGGGAGCACTGCGACAATTTTTTAATCTAATGCTTAACACACACACAAAAAAAAGAAAAGAATCAGGTTGCGGATGACAGTTGGAATCACCTGTGGTGGTTATGTGTAGGCCCAAACCTTCCTTTACATCCGTCACCGGTTCTATATGCTTTGAACTAGCTTAAACAATATAGGATGTTCTGTGTGTTTTTCGGCTGTATATGTTTGTTGAAAAGCTTGTTAACATCCCTGCAGACATCCGTATGTGGAGGGGACACGAAAGATACACAAACAGGAACAATATTGACCAAAGGAGGACTTTATATTTCCAGAAAAACTGGGAGTAGATTGTAATATAAAACCTAGTTCATCACAAAATTAATCACAAAATTCAAATTTTTTTAACTAGAGGCAGATAATACGACCAAAAATCTATAGCCACTGAAAAATTCAGTTTTGACAAATACAGTGAATGAAAAATTACCTGAAATGTAGTCTTTGCTGTTAAAAAACAGGCTGTGAGTGTGTCTGCATGCACTCAGACCCTCAGAATCAAGCCAGCTGTTCTTAATATGATTGCACAGATTAAGTCCAGACACTCTCTCATCCTTGTCCCCCCCCGCCACGTTAACCCCTCATCTCCAGTGACGGCGGGAATAATGGATGGCCGCGTGACCCAGATTCAACGGCAGTGGGATGCTGCCGAGTGCGGTCCTCGCATCAACAATGTAAAGTGCCAATGTGGCAGATACGGGGAGAACCAAAACACGCCAACGGGCGACGGTGCGGCACCAGCATGCCCCCACCCGCTCAGCGTGCGGGCCTTTGCTGTTTAAACACGACTAATCTATTTTCATGAAAGTATTTTCACACAACTTGACCCCGGTGTTTTGGTGGCCGCAGTGTGAAAAAGTAGGTCGGTAAGGCGACAAAGTTGCCAAATACGTTCACCAAACTGTCAACTCTATGGAAGAAAATAAAAAAAGCATGAACTTCTGATCCTATCCTCACGAACTAATGTGAAGAGACACTAATGTGGCAGCGTCGATCGTAACCGCTGTGTCAGACCTGATAGAAAGAAGGCAGAAGGAGCTACACTGTAGAAAACAGCTTAAAAAAACCTTAATATAACGGCATATGGTGTCATCTGGGTGCACTCTGTGGGAGGATGTGTGGTTTAGTTCTATTCTGTCTTGTGGGGGAGCCAGCAGCATATTTTAAGAAACTTGCCCAGATAAAATTCCCTCCAGTCAAAATCCCTGTTTCATCTTATTAAAAATAGAAGCCCTCCTTTCTCCATGTTTTTTGGGGGGTAAATCGTCTCTAGATCTTTTCGACCGACATCCATACCTTCTCCTTTGCGGCAGGCTTTCCCCTGATGCTGTTGGAATATCAACAAATACTGAAATCAAGAGACTTCCTGCATAATTCTGCTCCTCGCGTTTCAGGTTAGACGGGCAGGAGACGCACACTCCCTAGATAAACATTTGATGAGGCTTCTGTAAGGGAAAACGAAAGTGTAATGCAACCTTGCCCTGTGAATGAGGGATATCAGCCTTTCAGAGGGCCAGGAAAGAGCCTGTAATCCCTTTGAGGATGGGGGTGAAAACAAAAATCTACCATAAAAGAAAAAGAAAAACCTGGCCATGTCCAAAATATCCTCAGTAACTCCAGTAAGACCACAGGCACCACCTTATTTTGCGTTTCAGTTCAGTTCTAAATGTAGCTTCCTTTTTAAAAAGGAAAAAAAAAACCTTTTAAGCAAGGCTTCCCGATTCATGAGTGCGCTTTAGAGTAAACTTGCAGTGGCAACGTCGGGATCATTGTTTACTGTAAAATGAACAATGGAGCATTTGTGCATTTTAAGATACTAAAGCTGCAATATAGATAGCAAATGTGGTGTGTTCCCTTTTGCTTTCATATACTAAATATGATTAATAGAGCAGGTCCCGAGGCACAAACTGCAGCCATGTGCGACCTGGCAGACAGAGGCTGCCGGGAGGCTTTGGGCTGGCTGTGTGCGCGGACCAGCCCAGAAAGGCCTTGTCAGAGCGAGCTGATGTGCAATGCCCCGCCACGGTGGCACACAAGGCTCCATT